CCTTCTGAATCTTGAGTCTACCTTCAAAAGTGTTGGTGTCCCCACTGCATGCTTCCTTCCATTGTGGATGTGGTTCCATTGAGGACTACCCACTGAGTGCGGTTGCTAAGCCAGTTGTAAACTTGCCTATCACTACTGTCCCTGTTGCGGGTTTTCCATCAGTTCTGCCATCAAGGAGTTGTGCGTGGTTGCACCGTTTAATTGTTCCATCAATCATGGTGTCCTGCTGAACTGGCTTCAGGAGTTTGGGATGGATGGCATTGCATTGTGCTGGCTCTCCACCTTCCTCTGGAGTCAATATTGATAAGGGAAGGAGAGATCCAGCTCACAGCCTCTATTTTGTAAGGTGCCTCAGGGCTGGGTTCTCTCCTATTGAACCTCTGTATGAGACCACTGAGTGAGGTCATCCAGAAGATTGAGGCAAGGTATCATCAATATGCTGATGAGATCCAGTTTTACCTCACTATTCCAGGCCGCCTGAGCAGTGCCATAGTTATCCTGTCTTGGTGCCAGAAGACTGTAGAGAACTGGATGGAGCACAATGGGCTTCGACTCAACTCAAGCAAGGCTGGGTGGGTTCTGCTATCTGGGCACTCCAGTGACAAAGGTCTTCCATCTTTGTCCTGGATGGGGTGGAAACCTGGTGTGCAATCTGGTGGTCCTCCTGGAGTTATGACGCCTCCTAGAAGGGCAGGCGGCTGCTGTGGCTAGAAGAGCCTGAGCACACCTTTGGGTAATGTGCCCATTGTGTCCATTCTTGGACTGGTGGGCCCTGCTCACCATCACTCACAGTTTCTGGCCTCTTGTTTGGATGACTGCAATGCATTCTACGCGGTGCTGCCCTTGAAAACCATTTTGAAGCTTCAACTGGTGCAAAATGTAGCTGCATGGGTAGTAAATGGTATTGTATATTCAACGTACGTAACACCACTATGAGAGCTGCATTGGATGCCTGTGTTTCTGCTGGTTGAATTAAACCTGGAAACACACCTTTAAAGCCCTTCATGGCTTGGCTCTGGATTGCGTAAGGAACCATCTTCTCCCAGTGGGTTCCACCTGTCCAATCCACTCTGGTGGTTTTGCATGCTACCGGTCCCATCAAGGAAGGAATGTCAGCTGGTGGGAACTAGGAGACCTGCCCTTCCCACCATTCTCCTCCCAGAATTAAAGATGACCCCAGCCCTCTTGGCTTTTTGTAAGTCTTTGAAGACCTGGCTTTGTGTCCATGTCTGGGGATCATGAGTGCCCTCTGCCAAGTCACTTGCTTGTGGTGGGCAGCTATAGAAAATAAATGTTCCTAATATCTCTGAGGGTTTCAGAAAGGGCACTGCCAACCTTACCTCTGCTTCAGAAGGTCCTTCAAGACCTTGTAACGGTTGCATCCCTCCATCTATTATTCCTGTTTTAGCTTTGCTTTTATTATTTTAAAATAGTTTAATACTTATTATATAATGGCTTTAGCTAATGATTGTCTTATTTATTTACTGTTATTTACTGGATTATTGTACGCCACCCAGAGTCACTTTGGGTGCGATGGGTGGCCCTAAAAAAAATGATTAATAAGTAAATGTAGCTTTAGCATTCTTTTTAGTCTTCTGGGTGGGGAATAATGGAGATGAGATGCATCTCCAAATAACAGAGATGATACTGAGGAGGCAAGTGTGACTGGGAGCCTCTCTGGATAAGAAGCGAGGAGAGGGCCATTCCTGTTAGGGAGATCTGCAGGCAGTTCATGAGTTAGATTACTGGGAGCCATTGGAGAAATTCCATGCTCACTGCCTCAATGCAACCTGTTCAACAACATGGTTTTGCCCCACTCTCTACTTCCTAAAGCACCTTGGAATAGAAGTATTTTAAAAGCAGCAGAGCAATTATACCACCTAGTGAGCGATCCTTCGGCCATGGTGAAAGATTAAAGCTAAAAGCAAAGAAAGATAAGGACTTAACCATAATTAAAAGCAAAATGCTGGGTCTGAAATAAGATTAACAATTTAAAATGAACAAGGGACAGTTGAAGTTAGGATTATTTACTTTAAAGTATTTTTTTAAATAATGAAATAAATAATTCACATCTGACTGGGAAACAAGAAAGCAATTGGTGGGTTTTGCCGAAGAGGTAAGAGAAAGTTGCAAAAGATCATAGAGGCCATAGAGATCATGTATCATCGACATAAAAGATCATGTAGACCATAAAATAACAGGGTACTGAATGCCTTTTATTTTTACTTTTCCTTACTGGATTATAAATGAAAGAAAGACTACTGTTAAGAAAGCAGTGAAACTTGCAGAATTGAGGAGAGGATGTTTGACGGAGCAAATGACAAAAAAAGGGGATTTTATCAGAAATACTGCAAAGGATATTCAAAGACTTAAGGGAAAATGTGACTGAATCAGTCGAGAGAGGTTCAGCCTCATTGGAAGGAAGAATGGAGGAGAAATTTGAAAACATGGAAGAAAATATAAATTTTAAAAAAGTGAAGAATCTGAAGATTCTTAAAGTGAAAACCAGAGACTTTTCTTTTGGGTCTAATGGAAAAAGATTTGGGGAAAAATCTTTTTTTGTTGACAGCAATAAGATTACTTTATGCTCAAAAATGGAAGGACACTTTGATTCCCACAATGGGTGAATGGCTGTAAAAGTTGATTGATTTAACAGAGATGGCTAAATTGACTGCTATGGTTAAAGAAAACATGATTAATTTTGTTTCTACTTGGAAACCACTTTTGGACTTCGTGCTTGAGGTGGAAAAATGAAACTTTGATTTTGGGTTTTGCCAATTAAATACAGTGCATTCAGGCAGTATTTAATAAATTTACAGGGAGTTCCAAAATTCTGTTTTTGCTTTGTCATTATGGGGTACTGAGTGTAGATTAATGAGGAAAAAAATAAATTTCAACAACTGTAGAATCAGGCTGCAGCATAACAAAATTGACAAAAGTGAAGGAGGTCTGAATACTTTCTGAATTGCACTGTAGATTTGTTATTATAGAAATTGTTACTTCACATTATGATATAAAAATAAAAATAGCAATAGCACTTAGACTTATATACCGCTTCACAGTGCTTACAGCCCTCTCTAAGCGGTTGACAGAGTCAGCCTCTTGCCCCCAACAATTTGGGTCCTCATTTTACCAACCTCAGAAGGATGGAAGGCTAAGTCAACCTTAAGCTTGGTGAGATTCGAACTGCCAAATTGCAGGCAGCCGGCAGTCAGCAGAAGTAGCCTGCAGTACTGCATTTTAACCACTGCACACAAAGATAAAATGTAAGCAGTATCTGTTTAAAAAAATTGATTACATTTCATGGGAGAATTTAAGGAAGATCTGCAAATATGGAAAAAAGATAAAGAATTTGAAGAATCTACAATACAAATGAGCAACACAGAAACATTCAGCCAAAAGATGTAAAAAGATTTAGATAATGTGGCATTACTGGATTTAAAAGAGAAAGAATGTTGCTTGGGAGTGAGAGTAGTTAGGGAACAATCTGGCAAATTCTCAATTTACTGAGAATTGCTGAAGCCTTAAAAATAGAATGGGAAGAAGAAGACATGGTTGCAGAAGTCAACACGTATCTGTACCAAAAATAAATGTACCAAGAAATATATCTGTGCATCTTGTCAGGAAGAAGACAAATTAATGCCAAGCTAAGGACCAATAATGCAGAGATACTGGATAAGAGAGCAGAATATAAAATTTACTTCTTTCATAAGGGACAAGACAATAAGGTTCCTTTAAAAATGCTGGAAACTTTTAAAATACTTTTTGCTCAAAATGGACAAAAATTGGTTGATTATTTTGGGACTTACAGGGTGAAGGATATGGGAAGAAATGAACTATGTATGTAGTTTTAAAGTGGGATAAATAATACTAATAATAACTAAGGTTGAAACTACTGTAAAAATGGAAGTAACCGCATTTCTTTTTCTTTTATTTTCTGCCCTTTCAAGCTTTGCTTTCTCAATTTCATTTTTTGTATTTTATGTTTATCTTTCACTCATTTAAAAATCCTTAATAAAAATTATATTTTTTTAAGAAAGAACATTAAACTCAGGTACAGAAATAGCATAATCAGGAGTCAAGGATCGAGGAAGGTTTGGGAGGTTCATTGAAAAGAGCCCTCACTCACTTATCCCGTCCTTCAGCAAGACATGCATCCGGGAACATGGATGTCCTCCAGAGTAATTTTGCCTCTAACACCATGCTAGATATAGCCAACTTTAATAGTGGCCATGGAGAGCCTATTAAAAAAAATTCTCATTTACTAAATTCATTATAGTTTAAATGGCTTCTGTTCTTACCTCTCAGGGGGTAAATAAAATATCAAAAAGTTTTATAACCCAGAAAAAAAGTTATAATTATGACTAATCCTCTCAGTAAGTGGAAGAACTTGATTCCTTTCTGAAGAGAACAAAACAACATTGCATAACTTGAGAGTAACCAAGGAGAAATCTTGACAAGGTGAACTTGGAAAGTGAAGGCATTTTGAAGACAATCATATTGAGATTGGTGGTCTGTACAGAAGTCAAGCGTTAAGTCTCTGAGGTCATCATTGGTTGAAACCAGAACTTCAGAATGTGATTGAGAAAGGGTTGGTGACAAAATTTCCTACAAGATGAAGTATATGATCCCATTAGGATCTATTAGTAATGTTAACTGAAGGGTATCATCTGTTGCCTAAAATTCTAGGCAGGAACTTTTTAGCCAAAAAATCTTGCAGTTGAATTTAAGATTCTTTTCACATCAAACGTGTATTCTAAACAAATGAAGTTCCTTCAGGAAGAAGTCCTTCAGGTGGCCATTTGTGGCTTATCAAAGGTTGTGGGCCAGGCCATTTAGGGAAGCCTTCCAGATATCTTGAAGTGGCAATTTTTCATTTCTGCCTATTTATTAGAAAATGTAGCCTATTGGAGTCAGGAAAGCATCTTTGGATCTTTTAGGGGCATATTGTATATGAAATCTTGTTCTAATATATTTCTTTTCCCCCCCAAAATCTCCAGGTTCTTGAACGGTTGTTCCAGAAGGGATTTAATGTGGCAGCGTCCTGCGGTGGAGGCGTAGATTCCTCCCAGTTCAGTGAATATGTGCTGTGTCGTGAAGACAGGAGACCACAGCCCAATACCACCATCAGAATAAAGCAAGAACCCCTGGATTAAGGACTGACTCCCTCCCTCCTTTGAGACAGTAGATGTGTTCAAAGGTCCCTTGGGTGGAAACACTCAGAACTCCCAGAACAGTATTATGCAGGAGCAGCCAGCCTGTTTCTGAAGCAACCTGTTGCATGGCCAGCCATGACTCTCGCGTGGAAACAAGGACAATGACACAACACAGAGTTGTTTGTATTATTACTCAAGTCATCGCAGTGCACTTGGAAGCCTGGCGTTTTGTGGGATTGTTTTGGCACATGGAAAAGTAGTGATGCTTCTGTAAAGAACTAACTGGACTGAATTTGGTGGAAAAGACCAGTTTATGTAATTAAAGTATGTCTCACTGAAGGAATAAGCCCACCAGCTTTCTGGAGGATAGCCCCTCTGTCCTATGAATGTGTCAAGATCTTGATAGCTGCCAGAAGGAAGCTGGTGATATGCTGAGCGTCTTCCCTGAACCCTGTACTATCTCTGGCCTGTCAGTCATTACTTTCCTATCTCCATTTGTTACTCATGATCTTTTGCTCATTTCTTGGATTCATTGTATTATGGCTTATTTTTCTACGACAATTGTCTTAGAGGAGCCAGTTCAGGTAGGGACCAAAGCTGTTAATGTGCTGAACCTGATTTCATTCTTTCCAGTCCCACATCTTCACTGTCCTCCTTTCCCCATACACATATACATCTCACACAGTGCAAATTCTTTAAAAAAATGAGGTTCAAATCAATTTTTGCAAAATTGTGTAACTTAAATAGGTCCTGAGGTAAGGCCAAGTTAAGTTACGCTGGTTTTTATTGTCGTTAAGAACGGGAACTGGCTAAATTGTGTCTCAAGTCACCTTTCATTCTTCATTTGAATTCAGTCCCCATATTGCCTTGACACAAGGAAATGGATGGTGCCACACTGATTGGATGTTGTGTGTCATCTTTTTAAATGACACAAAAGTGTGATGCCTTTCTTCTTTTGAGCAACTACTTTAAATACTTTGCTTCCATTCACAAATCCTTTGGCATCAGCATTCTTTGAGAAAATAAACTTGGTTTTCAATCTCTGAGCAGTCATGACAGTTCAGATGATCCAGAAAAATCTGCCCGTTTATGCTGTGCCATAATTTGGTGTTGTATGAATTACTCTCTACATAGGTTGTATACCTTGACTGGTAGGTTAGTGCATCCTTCCTGACCAAAGGAACGTCAGACCTGTTGGGGCTGCCATTTCCCAAAATCCAACGGGTATAACACATAGAAAGAGGGACGACAAACAGTGTAATCGCTAGCACTATTTTCTTCACTCGCTGATTGACTGGTTTTGCACGAAAACTCAAGAATCGAAGCCCGGGTCAACATGCAGAAGATGGGCTGCATTTATATGCCATGCTATGCTCAAATATTGATGGCCGTTAGGACTTTGAAGGACAGCTTGTGTAAGGTCTTGCCTCAAGGGTCCCCTCAAGCAAGCAGAACTCTTGAAACAGGTAGCATTTCAAAAGAAATGTTTATTCGGTGACAGTGATAGCAAAGAGAATAGGCAGGATCTAAAGTTCCCGCGCTAAAACGTTAGGTTAAAAGTTGTTCGTTAAAACCCCTCCCCACTGCTCAGTTCATCGCAGGCCAATCACCATTCACCCAACTTGCCAAGGTAAGTACTTGGCTTCCTAGAATGCACTGAATTCCTCAGCATGGCATATCAGGTTGTACGCACCTTGCAATTGTGCAAAGTGTTTGAGTTTTGTGAGTAAGTCCCAGTATGAGGCTGCTCAAAAGATTTAAAAAAACAAGGGAAGGGAAGCTCTCCACCCCTGGTGCCTCCTGAGCAGAGTATTGAGTGAGAATCCAGACGTTCTGGCCAGGCCTTCTCATGTAAGTTGTACTGACAGAAAACTTCTTTGGAGAACCTCATTGAGTTGAACTATGAAATGTATCTGCAAGTTCATGGATCCAGCTAAGTTTGTTTTATTGCTTAGTCTCGACCCATTTCTCACGAGCACAACTTCAAAAATCGAGGCTTGGAGAGAAATCTTTGTATCTGAGGAGTGTTCAGTCATAAATAGTGTATTTCATACTAAAAATGCATATCGATTCTCTTACCAGTTTAATGTGGAATCCAGGGAATTATAGTTCTGATAAGGTGCAAATCTGGCCGAGAACCTCAGTTATATTACCCTCTCAAAACTGCACTTCCCAAGATGCCCCACTGCAGCCATACTCGGTTTAAGCCTGGACGGCAAACCAAACTGCCAATTCAAAACGTTTAGGAGAAAAGGCAGTTTTCTTGAATTAGTAAACCTGCTAAGATGGATGAATAGCTCTAACTGAAGTTCAAGGGGAAAAAATGTATACCAAAATGTGGCAGGGCCACATGAAATGAAACCGCACGGTACCAAAAACTCACCCTTAGATTTTAGCGTCCCTTGTGAAGAACTTCATTAAGGAAATTTGGTATCCCTGCAAGCAGCTGCTCTTGAGCAGAATGGCCCATTTTTGAACTGACCAAGACATATTTGTTGACATATTTCATCAACAAGAGTAATAATCGAATTGCCACAAATAGAAATTCCCCACCAAATTTGTGGATAAGAAGGGATTTCACCAGAGTAAAGAGAGGTTCTCCCAACTATGTAAGGACAAAACTACAGTTAGCTGTGATGAGCGGGAGAGGGGAAGTGTCAAACTACAAGATGGCCGCCACATATTGCATTTTGCAAGATGTTGTCCCTGCAGTTTTGCTGCCCTCTGTGAATGGTGCTGAAGGCCAATAAAAAGGCCAGGAGGACTTCTTCATGATTCCTTGGGCTATAATGGAGACACCAGGAACCTGGAAAGAGAGATCTGGGAGAGGACGGTGCTACCAAGAAAAACAGGGCATTCATTCACACACACACACACACACAAACACATCCCTTAGCTACCTCAGAACTAAACAAGTAACAGAATTGTCACAACACACCACTTTTTCACAAAAGTTCTCTTTTGCAAAGTACAGGTTTTTTTAAGCACGCTACTTTCATCAAACTGAGTGAGAGCTGTTAAGCAAAAAAAGTTAGGAGAATTTCTCCATCTGTCCCCCCCAAAACAACTGGTTGAGGGTTATCTATGCAGAAAAGTTGCTGCATTGTACATTTTGTGCCATCAAGTTAGTTTAATATCTTTTCTACGTAAATAAAATGTTTAGGTCTTAATGCCATCCCTTTTGTATGTAAGATACCTATTAAATTGTATTGTACTGTAAATGCTTAATATTGTACCTTCTCGGCATTCCTCTTGCCCTTCATAAAACAGATCGTGCAATGTGTCCATCAACCATTCTTTGGTGTTTGACATACCCATAAAGTCAAAAGCCAAATATGCAGAATTTTATTTTATTTCAGTGTTTGAGAACAGAATTTGGGTATTCAAATGAATTCTCCTGGGACATTGCTTCTGGGTTGTACGCTTGAAACAGAACCCTTCCCATTTAGCTAACTGACATATTTATTTATTTATTTTATTGGTTCGATTTATATGCCACCCTTCTCTGGAGACTCAGGGCTGCTTACAATGCATTAAGCAATAGCCTTCATACTTTTGTATATACCTACTTAGTAGGGCTTTCACACACACCCCCAAAGCGGTGTTCTTTTTATACAAAGTCAGCTTATTGCCCCCACAATCCGGGTCCTCATTTTACCTACCTCGAAAGGATGGAAGGCTGAGTCAACCTTGAGCCTGGTGAGATTTGAACTTGCAGTAATTGCAGGCAGCTGGTGTTACTTAACAGTCTCCTTTAGTCTGCTGCGCCACCAAGACTTGCTCTTCATGGTGGCTCATCTAGTTTGACCTTTGCACCAGGAAACAACTTAAATTCTGCTAAATCTCCCCCCTCCCCCATTTTTAAAAATGCATCAGGATTTCACTTTGGCTCACACAGTAGTAGTCCTGTGCATGTAACTAGACTACTTTTTTTAATTAATGTTATTTTAGCTATAGAGTCATAACAGTTGAAATACCACTTAGAAGTCTAGTACATATAGGTGGCATCCAATAGTGTCCAACCTTTCAAAGCCATTTCTTTGTGGAAAAATCTCAAGGCATATTAAAAATTCCTCATCTTTCCCTAACTCCAGTTTAGAAATGTTTTTGCCATCCAGGTTGATTCATTTACCTGTGGGACTCTTTGCCTATATCTGCAGTGACCACTATGCCTATGTAGATTCAGCCTTGATGCATTCCTCACTTGACTGCACTCTACCATGTCTCTGTTCTTAAAAAAAAATCAGGAAAAAATAAAACGCAAAACCTCTCAGGGCAGAATACTCAGCTGGCTTCTGGATAAATGTTTGCCCTTTTCTGCAAGCAACCTTGGGTAGCCAAATTGTGTGCCAATCAAAATGCCATCACTGTGTGTGATTCATTACCAAGGTGACATGTCCTGTTGAAAATACTGAGGAAGGGTGTCCATAGAGAATGTGGTCAGGAAGACATGCACCAGACATTAAAAACACGGGTGGTGCCATTGTGGTTGCCATCTTTTTTATGACATCCTGTGGAGAAGTCTTAGGAAAGAGAAGCAATTAAAGTACAATCTTGTTTCTGGGATCCCTCAAAGACTAGAGCAAAAGTCTGCTCATGATTATCCTACCCACTCTCCTCCATTCCCCTCTTCCCACGTAGACATTTGCGAGGCATTTCAACTTACATAAATCAGCTTCAAGCCTCCTTAAGTCTATTGGGAAAGTCCTTCCATCAAAGGTTCCTGCAAATGGGAAACTTGTGAGTCTTGACTCCAGAACACTTGCTGAAGAACAGTCGTGAAATAGGAAGGACACCTGGAAACACTCAACACCTGAGGATGACATGCCTCCTCTTTAAAGCCTCTAATGCTTGACTAACTGACTTCATGATGCAGGATGTAGAGTTCTAATTTCATGTGCAAGTGTGTTTTTCAATGCTTGGATCTTCAAACCACCACATCAATGACAGCTGTGTCTTATTTATTTTTCCCATTATACACACCAGATTGAATCACAAAGGGGAAAACAACAGCAACAGCAAACTCCCTTTCTGATCCAAATGGTGCACAGGAAAAAAAAGGAAGAAAATTCAAAAGCAAAATCCCTGGCAACCAAATTGATTCAAATGGCTGTTTTGATTACAACTTTTCTACAGCTCCATAAATGTCTCCTGGGTGGTAATAATATCTGTTGCTGTGTAATTCGGGAAGTCTGCGTCAGGATCTTCCAATGACCAAAAAGGTCCAAACATGCCTTGGTCCAGCTGTTTGGGGCAACTCTTTTACTGTAACCCAATATAACTCTTTGGAATTGAGCAGAGGGAAAAGGCCACTTTGCTGGCTATGCTATATTCATTAGCTCAAACATTTTATGGTCAACCTGCCCATGCTCATCAGCTCTGCTGGCATAGCTACCTAATGAAACCAAAATAGCTTTTTTTTAAAGTTCAAGTAAATGGTTTCCATGGAACCCGTTTAAAACATATGTCCCCCTTTTCTCCCTCTGATATCCCTAATATTATGTGAGGCAGGCATGGTAGCCGATTTCTCCTCTGTTTGGCTTCTCACAGGACAGAAAATGGATCTCTTTAGACAAAGCAGATTTTGGCTCCTTCTCTAGTAGACATTTCAGCTTCACTAAGAGTTTTGAATATTACTTTTGATATGTTTTCCTTCTTAAGAACCAATTTTTCAAAATCAACAGTACCAGTTGTAGTTTCAGATCAACACTTCACTTCCAAAGCATTTTGAGATGCTTTTCTGTACAATGAAAACATATTCCTACTAATTCTTTTCCTTAGAAATTCCAAATGGAATTTCTTTAGGCAAGTTTCTCAAAGAGAAGTATTTCACAAACAAGGGCCGTGATTAAAAAAAAAAAAAAGTAGGGAAATGACCATGGGGGGATAATATATACATCACAATTTATGGCTTCTCCATTCTAGATTTCTTCTTCACCTTCATCTGTTCCAAGTTTTGGGATCAAAGAAGTATATCCAAAAACATTGATTTTTTTTCCTGTATCCATTTATTTATGCATTTCTGTTTTCTGCACAACGGGTTTCATTTATTTAAAATTCACTTCCACCCACCTTCTGATGTGATGCTGACAACCATCTTGGGAGACAGATAAGATTCGGGTCTCCAGCATGGTGTCCACTCGCCCAAATAGTATCAACGTTTTGCTTTGAAATCTGTTAGGCTTCCTCTTCCCATTTGCATTTCTCTTGAGGTTCTTTTCATTACAAATAAATAAAAAGAAGTTGTGAAGTTAACTACTAGTCTCAAGCATCCTCTCTCTTTCCACATATATCACAGAGACTTATCTTCAAAAGTAAAAATGGCAGGGGGTTTCCTATTGAAATGAGTTCCTTTCTGTAGAGGGCATAGGGAATGGCCTTCTAAAATCTGTAACCAAGGCAACAAATAGGCAGCAAGGCCTTATGCTTGTTCCAAAAAACAAACTTAAGGAACACTGCAGGCTGACCCTTCCCCAATCCAAATCAAGATAAAGCGAGGGAGGAGCACATTCTGACTTGCAAGCTTTTGTTGCTATGGCTGTTCCAATAAAAATAGTTCTAGACCTATGTGGCCCTGGTTTCCTTACAGGACTGACATCTCGTCAGAAAAAGTCAGAGTCAAGGGAGGTAGAGGATGACAGGGAGCATCTCACCACTTCTGATAAAAAGGTATTTTATGACTCGCTGTGCTCGTGTGTGGCAATTCTTTTCTCACCCAGATAGCAAATACAGGTAGTCCTCAGCTTAGGACCACAATTGAGCCCAAAATTTCTGTTACTAAGTGAAACATTTGTTAAGTGGTGTTGGAAGGAAAATCCATCTGGTTCAGTTCCAATCTGGGAGAAAGGCACTGGAAGTAAAATGGAGGCTGACGGCGGATTGGAAAGAAAGGTTCCCTTTATTGATGAACCAGAACCACCAACCACATGTGATTCAGGGATAGCTGACAAAATGGAGTTTAGAGTGGGTGGGTTTTTATACCTTCTGGACTCCTATGGGGTCATGTAGGGGTTAGGGTTAGGGTTAGGGGTCATAGCTGGCTCTATAGCAGTGATGACTAACCTCTTTGCCATTGTGTGCCAAAAGCATGGAGACCGGGGGGGGGGGGGGGAGTTGCATGCGTGCCCACACTCATAATTCAATGCCCCCCCGTGCCCCACTGCCCCATGTGTGACCCCTCCACGCCCCGTTTTGGGCCTAGCAGGTCTCCCTGACGCCTCTGGAGCCTGGAAATGACCCATTTCCAGATTTCCCGTATGCCATTTTTCGCCCTCCCCAGGTTCCAGAGGCATTCTTGGAGCCTGGGGAGGGTGAAAATGGCCTCCCCCACCCCCTCAGAGGCCCTCCAGAGGCCGAAAATGCCCTCCCAGAGCCTCTGTGTGAGCCCTGTACTTACCTGGCGTCCAAAATGGGCCATGTGGAGACTCCTGGGAGGGGAGGGGCAGCGTGGGCAGTGCCAGCCAAAAATCAACTGGCCGATGCACGCATGTGCGCTGGAGCTGACTAAGGGGAACGGCTCACATGCCCACAGAAATGGCTCGGCATGCCATCTGTGGTACACGTGCCATAGGTTTGCCATCACAGTTCTATAGGCAAAAGAGGAAATGCAAATCCTAGTTGTTTATCTGAGCTAATTTTGTCAACCTTTTGCTTGTTGCTTATCTGGAGTTTCTGTCTTGACCCAGTCTTTCTGAATGGATGACCAAATCTGCATTTCTAAAAGCTGGCCTCCTCAGTTTCTGCTTCGGGCAGGGAAACTGGGGCTGGTTTCTGCCTCCCTTAAGAGCATGTTTCTCTGTTTCTCCCTTTGGGGAAATATAATATTCTGCCTTTTTTAATATTTCCCAAAATATTTCATTCTTTGGGGGGGGGGGCTTCCCACAGTGGATTTTGCTTTTCTTGTCATGGTTATTAAGTGAATCACTGCGGTTGTTAAGCCAAGAATCTGAATTCTGATCACGGGGATCCTGCAATGGTTGTAAGAGTCAAAACTGGTCCTAAGTCACTTTTTTCACTGCCATTGTAATTTTGAATGGTCACTAAAAGAGCAGCTGTAAATTGAGGACTACCTGTGCGTCCCTGAATTAGACTGAGGAAAAAGGACTGCAAAGAAATACAAATCCGGCTCTTTCGCAGCCCCACAGCCCCTTTCCCTTTTCACCAAAGCTGGTTGTGTTAAACCAGAAGCAAAACATTTTGGCTCTGAACCCTGAACTAATGGTCTCACCTCTCATGGTGTTTTGCAGGAACCCTGGGAAAGGATCGGAACCCCATCCAAGTCCT